AATAAATATAAATAATTAGTTTTTAAATTATGGAATAGTCAAATGTCAAATACAATATAAATATTACACAATATTAATGCAATATTAATGTTATTTTTTATCATAATGATTAATTAAATAATATTAATAAAAATAATATTATTAAATTAAGTTTATTAGTTTTATATTTTTATATAATATTACATTGTATATTTTATATATTAAGTAAAATAATTTTTTTTTATAATCTTTGTGTCATCGTTAAAATTTTATCATAAATTTAGATATTTAATATATCGATTGTCTCGTTTCACGATTATCCGAATTTCATAATAATTTAATGTAAATGTTAGTACACAATTATTATCCACAAAAATAAAAATAAAATAATATGTGAAAAAAATTAATTAAATATTTTGCTTAATTTTTAATGATATATGAGAAATGATTCAACATGCAATAGTCTCACCTATATGTTCCAAAAATTATGCCAGACCTGTATTGTATAAATTAAAAAATAAAAAATTATTTATTTTAATTAAGTTATATTTTTTATATTAACATTACAATGGAATAATATTTGTTATAAATTTATTATAAGTATTTTCGAGATTATCATATATCTATAGTGATATCACAATATTTTTACATCTGAGATTATGAGTTAGGAAAGATATTTAAAAAATGTTTTAAAAATTAAAATTTTTTATTTCGTTATTTATTTAAATTTTTCAAAAACATTTAATGCTTTGATTAAATTATAACATGATTAATCCAAATTTTTTATGTGAAATATTCTAGATATATATCACAAAAAAAAAAAAGATTTTTTGATAGTAATAAAATGAATCATAATAATTCAAATCTACAAAATTTAAAAATTTTTTCATTAATTGTTTTTTATTAATTTGATTAAAAACAATTTAGATTAAAAACAAATTAGTATAACTTCAAATAAAAATATATTAAGAAGATAAACATGTTATTGTAAATTTGAAATCATGAATAAAAATACGTTTAAAACATATTAATATAATATTAATATAATATGAATAATAATATATAATATTTGTGATATATTTGAAGAGTTTATTTTAGGGATTAAAATAAACAAAAAATTGTATCTATAAAATGCCAATCGAAACTTATTTATTACATATATAAAATTATATAATATAATTTATATTATATGAAACAGACGGAAATAGAGTAAGATGATACGGTAATGAGATAAAGATTGAGCATTTTATTCTATTTGTGTTTTGTCTAAATTGAATTATAACTTAATAAATTTCAACTGATATATTTTTATAATACATTTATAATACCATTTTTATGTTTATTTTGATCTCTAAAATTGATTTTCCAAAAATATACTAAAGATGAATATGTTAAGATCTCATATATAAAATAAAAAAAAAAATACCTATATAAAATACGCATAATAAAATATATATATGTAAATAATATATGTAATAAATAGAAATAGGAAAAAAAATATTAGCTGTAATATAGTTATTTATGGAACATTCTATTATTATTTTAGCAACATAAATTACAAGACATTATCAAAACAAGATTCGAATATCTAATTTGTAATATGTAATAAAAAAAATTCAATTTGTGATAAATTAATACATTTATTTTGAAAATTAATGTATAATTTCTTTAAATATCATTCTTGTTTTGTCAATAAATTTTTTGTCAACATTTTTTTACTTAACTTATAACAAGTCATTTTATATATAAGAATTTACAATATGCTCTAATCGTTTTTTTATATTATTTTAAAAATTTTATATTATTTTAATTATTTTTAATATTAAAATTTGTTTTATATCATTATAAATCATAACATACTTATTTATTTTCTTAATTATTATCAAAAATTCAAACTTCAATTCAAATTTTTAATTATTTGCAGAAATAATAATACAATGGATACAATGAATTTTATATTATAATGAATAATGAATAATGAATAATGATTAATTATATAAGAATGAATAATTCTCTCTGCAATTATTGCGATAGAAAATGAAGTAAAAAAAAAACTATTAACTAAAAATAATATAACAATATATAATATTAATTTCGGGATAAATCTCGTACTTTTTTTATTAATAATATCCCAATGTTTTGTAAATATTGCAGTTTGTATAATCAAAACTAAGAATATTATTATAAATCCAATAATAAAACTATGGCTGTAGATAATCTCTAAGTATATTCACTTATACGGAATATATTAGATAAGATTTTTAATTGATATTAGAAAAAAAGAAAGGAAGAAAAAAAAAATAATTCCTTTTTTCATCGGTAGAGTTCTTATAAAATATAAGATTAGAGTCATTCAAACTATTTAGTAAAATAGTTCAATTATCCGAAAGACTAGTTTGCGAATTTCAAAGACCAAAAGATCATCTTAAGATACATCAGGAATAGTTTGCTTATATGATAAAATATATATAATAACATAATAAATATATATAGAAAAATAAACTATATATTACATATCAAAAAATACCAAAGGTAAATCAAATCATTTCTCCTAATCTATTTTTAATGATCATTTATATCATATAATTATCATTTTAATAATAAATAGTTTCATATAGGATATGAAACTATTTCTTTTGAATATTATTTTTAAAAGAAATAATCTAGATCTAGAAAATCTAAAACATTAGAGTTACTTTAAATAGACAAAAGTTTAATCCAATTTAACATATTATTCTCTTAATTTTTTAATTAATGAGTTGATTAAAAATCTCATTTGTTCTGCATAAGTAAATATATCTATCTATTTAAATAGATAAAAATTAAAATTTAGTTTTAAAAGAGTGTTTCAATATCGAAATTTTTAATCCTGATTATGAAAATTGTAATATTTGCAGAATATCAGAACATTGTTAAAAAAATACAGGATTCATCCGAGAAACCAATATTATTTATAATTTTATTAGATATTATTTTATTTTTTAATTCTATTATTCACTGATTTTATTAATAAAATTATATAAAAAATTTTATATAATTTTATATTATTTTATTTTAAAAAATGCAAAAGAATTTGATAGTATACAGCAATATTTTATAAAAATATTTTATTGCAATATATTTAATGTTAAAAATTATTATACTTTTTATCATTTCTTAATATTAAATAAATAAATTTTTTTTTATAAACAAGAGATATTTATGATTTTAATATGTTTTTCACAGA